GAATATCCTGGAGAAGTCGTTGTAGGAGGTCTTGTAGTAGTGGTTGGAGCTCGTGTAGAAGTGCATGGAGCTGGTGTAGTAGTTGGAGCACGAGTCGTGGTTGGAGTCGCGTATCCTTGGGCCGTCGTGGTGGGAGTTCGTGTTGTGGTCGCTGGAGACGGTGTGAAGGTTGTTGATCGAACTGTAGTCGTTGGGTTGGCGTAACTTGCCGTCGTAGTCGGTGGGGGCGTGCTGCTGTACGGTGCGTTCGGCTCGGCATGCGCCGAGGCGACCAGCCATGCTATCAGCACGAGGGTGGATTTCATGTCGAGGGGTGTATCCGCGAGGTCTGTTTGGCGAATGATCTGACTGCCGACGAGGATCTCAATCGTGTGAGCTGAAATGGGCTCGAAATTCGGCACCAATGACTGTGGCACCGAAACTTTTGGATCCAGTCAAACCCGTGCACGCATGATGAAACCGATTCGTTGTCGCCAGGATGTCAGCGCATGGTGATCTTGCATGCCGCCGCCTGTGTGGACATGGTCCGGTGCATATTCGTGTATATGATATGCATGCCACCATGCAAGTGGGCTCCTGCCTTGACAATTGACCGGGAATTCATCCGTCGCATGCATCACGCCTATAACGAGCCGTTCGGATCTCTTCTGCTCATGTTCAAAAGGTTTCACGTCCTTTGTTACATCATCAGCACGGCAAGGCAGTCTGACTTCCGCATCGTTTCACGACCTAGAGGACATCGGTAGATGCAGAGATTTTCTCCACTAAAGCGTGTCGGCTTCCAATCGGTCCGCGTTGGAAGATACGATTCGGTAGATTGCACAGCTACAACCCACGTGAACGTCCACAATACATCGCCCTGTCCATCCAGGTTGGCGAGCGGCGTTGCCCTCAACACCGACCTCTCCCTTGAGCAGCTTGCGTGCACAGCGACTGTCGAAACGTTGGGGTACAACAAGCACACGTGCCACCCCCCGCTCCATCGTGCAATGGCACGGCACAGTGAACACGCGAGGGCACGCCTGCCGCGTTGAGCGACCTGAACCTGCGACCGCTTCTCGCCCTTGCGGTGGTTACGGACGCATTCAAGATCACTCCAGTTTGGTTTCTTCGATCGCGCCCCACCGACAGACACCCCCATCCCTTACTTCCACGTTCTGAACTGGGTGAATTTTCGAACTCAAGAACAATTCCTCGACGAGCAGCGCTCGTCCGAGTGCTGCGAGAACATTCGAGCAACCCAACGCGACGTTGTCGCAGCTGCGACAAGGAATGTCCAGTTTCTCGTCGCTCGTGGATAACGAACGACGTGGTCGTCGGCGCGGGGTAGCAAGCGGAACTTTGAATTAATAATGCAATACTTTACACTGGTCACATCGTTGACGACGCCTCCTCGGTGTTTAGGCAAAGATCTTGCACACCGTTTCCATGACGGCGAACGTGATCCCTTGGCCTGGCGCGACGCGGGCCATGCGAGGAATCAATCCACGGTACAAAGCACCGACGCCTTCCTCCTTTGCCACGGTCTGGATGCACTGGACCATGCCTGTGTACTTGCCGGCTTCACCAACCTTGTTTGCTTGCGCCATCAAGCGCGTCTTGGCGACATCCACGGGGGTGTTGAAGACAGGACCCAACATACCAGCGACCATACCGGTCACCAATGCCTGGTGCGATGAAATCTTGTCGTCGCGGCTCAAGCCCCATAGGGCGCTCTTGAGCAAGTCGTACGACCCAAAGAGGAAACACTGGTTCAACCCTTGACGGGTCATGGTCGGCACGCAACCCTTCCACAGAGCGGCCGCGCCTTCTTCGCGGAAAATCGTCTGCGCAGCGTGGACGGGGCCATGGTACTTCAAGTTGGTCGATCCCTTTTGTTGCTGGAGGCGGGTCTTGACCACTTCGAACGGAGTCACGATGAAAATAGCTTCCGTGATGCCGGCACCAGCACCGGCCAAGAAGCCACGGAACGGAGTGACCTTGCCATCCTTGTCAGACAGCAACCCACGATAGAATTCGTTCGTCGAGAATCGCAACGAGTACTTGATCACCAAGTGCAACACGAAAGGAGTCAACCCCTTGTACAGGGCGGCCGCGCCTTCTTCCGCGACAATTTTGCGGGCCACGGTAATCGCCCCGTCTTTGCCGCCAGACAATTGGAGGCGGGTCTTGACAGTGTCCAAAGGCTGGAGCGTGCACGCTTCAACAAACCCACCGGCCATGCCGCCGAACGTCTTCAACGTCTTGGACACTTTGCGCTCTTCCGTCTTGGGCGCAGACGACGTCGAGAGTGATTTGGGGACGGCAGCTTCTACCGTGGCAGACATGGCGACGCGTGAAATTTGTGAATGACAGCGCTGTCGACGGAGGCAATCCGTCGCGACAAGCTGTTTCGTAGCCATTGAACTCGCCACGATTTGTAAACACAGCCGGAGCATCCGGATAATGCACTCGACTCAGATTGAGTATACAGGAGGGTGACCGAGCCGTGGCGTTCAAGCTGGAGTTATAATATCACATCGAAATCTGTGTATTTTTAATCCATTCCTCTTTCTGCATCCCTATTGGCGGAAACCATCTGCATTTAGCCAATCAAAAGCAACTATTTACCTTCATTCACGCCAATTGGCTAATACGATAGGAAAAACTTCCCATTGGCTACATCTGTCCTTCCTTCGCTATGACGACGGCGATGTGGTTGGACGTTTTATTCCATTACCGTGCGTTTAAACTGACACGTGGTGTTTAACGTAAGCCCATCACCTTCGTCAGATGGAACGGTCGGCATGCGACCGTTCATTGTCGTATCCGGAATGTGACAGGCGGATATCCATGGACGGGGAATCCACACAAACCCAAACGTCGACGTGACGACCGACAGGGAATGAACGAATGGTTTGAAGACGGGTTTGCGCTGCTCGCAGAATTCTATGAAGCACGTGTGCGGGAGAGAATGAAAGGCGACCCCGGTGCCAATGCGAGGAGAACATTCCTTGAATGTTGCGTTGAAAGTTCCTGTGCCCCAAACTACATTCCCAACTAAGTATGTTTATCGTGCTTGAACAATTCTTTCATGCCATCAATCTAACGTGCGACTGCGATGTCTCGTGTAGGCACGATGTGGAGAGCCCATTGCTCTCGCACTGACTGCATTCAGAAGTGGTTGTAAGGCCATCGCGATGGGCCCTTGAGGTAAGTTTAACCAGCTAACGTATGGGAAGTCAATGGAAATGATCCCTTGAGGAGCTCGAGGGATCATTTCCATTGACCTCCCATACGTTAGCTTTCATTTTTCTGCCTTTTATGGAGCTGCTAGCTGTCGTTGGGGCCTTGACAAGCAATACCAACGTCTGCATTGTTGTTGACTAGAAAAACTATTGCCAATGCGGATCGTTGAGCCACCAAAGTTGGATTTCAAAAACAAACTATGCGTTGTTGGCTTTTGGTTGCATGTGACATGAATTGAGCTTGGATGTGGTGCATGGCCTCGTGGTGCTCTCACAAGGCCAATTTTCACAAAAAGCAGACTCTTCTCTAGTTTAGTTGAGAATGCAGCATCTTCTAGCGGATCGCCTCTTTTGGTTTTGTAGGTTGGTTAATGCTCCAACGAGTTACGATCGCCTCCACCACATTGCCCTGGACAGCGAACGCCCCATGTATAAGTGCACAATCGGCCTATGTGAAATCTTGAAAGTTTTGTATTTTTTCCTCCGTGTTTCGGATACTTTCTCGCTTATCCGGATTTTGATCCGAAACATGCGCCAATCGAATGAGGCACTTGAATACCGTTCAACATGTTTGTCCTGTGCCGCGTAGCTGACGTGATCCAAGTGGCGCCCGAGCTCTTCTCGGCGGACTACTCGAGTGTCCTGATAGAAGAGATCGACCGAAAGTATGCGAACAAAGTGATTGCCGACGTCGGTCTGTGCATTACGCACTACGACTTCATTGAAATCGGGGACGCGTACGTTCATCCATCCGATGGCACTTCCCACACAGACGGTGCGCACCGTCCCTGTCTCCATGCTCCAACGTGATGGCACTTTGACGGGAACAACGTGACGACTAGTGATCTTTCGAATGGTTGTCTTTCGTCCGTTCATTGGGGAAATCCTAAAGGGGAAAATCATCAACTGCACGGAAGAACACATCCGAGGTACATCAGGCTGGAAATGTCATCACCTCATGTGTCCTCACTGGCATGCGTAGTGTCAATGGAGTTTATGCAGGACATCATCATCCCATCCTACGCCATGCAAAATCCGTCGTTCTTGTATGAAATTTTGATTATCCCCCTGACCTTGGACGATCTTACGAATGCCTCGTGTATCTTGCAGTGACAAGACAGAAAGGTTATGGGAGTGGAAGTTTCCTGGCCGCGAAGGTACGCCCTCTCCTTGTCAGCATAATGTTCTCACCAACTGCGCATACAGACGACCAAGACCCGTACTATATGTACCTGAATGAAGAGGTCAGATTTCGAGTGACCAACATCAACTTTACTCGAGTGCTCAAGACAGCAAATGGTCCCCCACCGCCGTCGCAATCGCCATCCTTGCCTGCTTACGTTCATGTGCTGTAGGCATGCAAGCAGTCACGGAGGCCGCAGACACCAAGCCCGATAAAAGCGAAAACCCGACGCGGCGCCGGTCGTCCAGCGTCGACCTATCGGACACGGACCCCAAACCCGCCGCTCTGCAAATCATCGTGCGGTACTTTGCAGATTCAGCATGGAAATTCATGAATATCGTTGTAGGGAACGATCGATGAAGACGGCCTCGGGTTGTCGTCGTGGTGGGTCGAGTCGTAGGTCCGACGACAGCCGTGAACAACACCGCGACCGAATGGATGGGGCATATTTTGCAACACGACGATATACGACTACTATTGCTACTTCACGTCCGACTACTTCTTTCGAATGACTGCTTCTAAGATCGTTCGCATAAACCGCGTGAGTTCGGACCGTTGAAAACTGAGCTCGTCCTACGTGCCCACTTTTGACAACGAAGAATTGTGTAAATATGTACCAAGAGAAAGTCGGGAACAAGCGGCGCTGCCTGCCGCTTCTGGTGGTCCACTTCTTCCATGGATGGACTGTACTCGAGTTGGTCCCGCGGGTTGGTTGGAATCGCCACGTTGAAGCTAAACTGCTTGGCATCCAGCGAGTCGATCGCCCGACACGACACCTCGACTTTGTCATCGCTGGAACTCTTCAAATTGATATGCAAGCTCGACAAGAGCTCGTAGATTCCCAACAACTACGTCAATAGACCACTTCATAACAAATGGAAATCCCCCCATGACGTTCTCCAACCTTGTTTGCCTGGACCAACTTGTGTGTCAAGTCGGTGGCCGTCCCTTCCAAACGCCTGACCTCAGCCGGAGACGGCGCTGTCGTGGACAGGTGCTTCGACCGCTCGAGCTCTAGTTCCCGCTCGAGGTTCTTGACGCGGTTGCGCAACGAATCGTTTTCAGCATGGATGATGGCATTTTCGTGCTTCAACGTCACGACCCTACACGATGTGTACCTGTCGGAGAGAGATTTAACAAATCGCCAGGCACGTACACTTCGGAATCGTTGGCCCCGATGTCAGTGCGTGCCTTGATACGCTCAATGTTTTCACGAACCTTGTCGTACTTTTCAACCTTCTTTGTCAGGTTTGCCACCTGTTGACGCAACTTCGTGTTGGCTTCGGCGTGCAACGCTTTGGCCTCTTTCGCCAGGCGATTCGACTCGGCCAGCAATTTCTCGGGTTCTGTCTGTCGCACATTCAGCAACGCCAAATAATCCTTTTGCAACTTTTTGAATGCCGCGTCGCGGTCCTTTTCCCCGTCGAATTGATTGAGGACTTTTTCCACGGTTTGCACAAACGCTCCGACAAGTTTGCTCGACTCTGCCTTTGTCTCGGACGCATGAGGCGATGCTTTCGCTTTCTGGTGCCGGTAGCTTTCACGTGGCGAAGGCGACGAAGGGTCGTGACCATCATGGTCCGCTTGTGATCGCTTGACTGAAGGCTGCTTGGAGGACCTGTCGTTGGCTGCACTCTTGTATTGTTTGGACACCACCTCAGAAGACGAAGAAGTTGTTGGTTTCCGTTTCTTGGTCACAGGATGCACATCTTTTGAATCAGGGCGCCTCTTGTCCTGGTCCCTTGATTTAAACCTTGCGTGGATCAGAGTGGATTCGATGTCCGATAGTTTTTCCTCGTCATCTTCCCGCTCCAATGCCCTGAAATTTCGCTCCGACGAAGATGATGTCGCTTTGACGAGCTTCCTCGATACAACAAAGTCATCGAGCGAGCCACTGCCGCTACTAGTTGGCAGCTCGTGTGGTCGCGTCGCCATCGTTGCTCCAAGAAGTCGTGGCAATGGAAATAATAGATGAAGTTCAAATTTGTTTACATCAAGGGATGAGGTAGCTACTACGCAGTATGTTCGCAACTATTTTGGAAAATGAATTATTTAAATGCCTTTCAGAAATTCAAGTACTAGTATCAAGATAACTTTGAACGGCCTGAACATCAATTGGCAGAAAAAATGCTTTTCCTGCTTGTTCTATTGTGATTGGCTGTTTTGATTTCAAATATCTTGCCGCTGATTGGAAGGTATTTTAAATTTTGTATTAACGTTACCTTGAAGCGCGGGACCTTGGGAAGGAATGGACGAAGGCGATGCTGTCCTGTTGGGTATCCCAGCCAAGGACGTCCGCGTTGACGAGACATGCCCGTACACAGCTAAGCTAGGGGGTATCCCTGTAAGTCCAGTCAAAGGCCGAAGCAATAATACACTGAGCAAGTAACTGCAGGCATGGTTTAATGCGGCCAACTCGATTCCCGACAGTCAACTCCACTGCCCACAATGCCACAATTCACTCTACTTGGTCGCTCAGGTAGCTTCGCTTTTCATCGCTGAATCGAAATCTCACTCCTCGGCGTCAGATCTACGCTCCTGTGACCACACCGCGCTCGCTGTACATTTTTGGATGCAATTCCGCCAAGTGTGTCACTGTCCCCAACAGGTAACTCGGGCACTTGACAATGCAAATACAACAACATGCATTTGCATTCGTTAGTTGGAGAGTGTTTCGATTTCAAGTCGACGACACGGAGCAAAGCAAACCTGCTGCGCCGGAGTCAACAACTACTCATTGTGTTGCGCCAAATTCCTCTACTTGGGGCCGTGGCGACTCGGATGATGACAGCGACGACGACAATTGGAGCAGCATTGGAGGCTCGACGTGGGGGTCGAATGTAACCACTGCTACATGCGACATCGATTTGGAAGCGTTGCTCAACGCACGCGACAATGCAATTGCTCAATCGACTAAACGAATGCAACCTCAGCAACCCTCGGCCACCAAGGCCGAAGTTCCTTCGACCGTCGCGGGCGAGGTTGACGAACCCATTGCGACGCGGCCCCACTTTGCCTCAATATTTTTGAATGTTGACGACGAGCCTGCCGTAAGTGGCACGGAGAAGTTCACCCATGAGACACAATTGCTCAATGCGTACTTGGCCGACGAAGAGAAAGAGAACGCGTCGGAAGTCGCGAGGTTGCGCAATATTCTCAAAAACAAGCCGTCTGACAGTCCGACGACAAGTGATGGCGGTGTCGGGGATCATGCTGAGTCGTACGAACGAACACCCCTTCGCGACAAGCTCTTCCTTCGCTTCCAGAAACGCGTCAAGCGAAGTCCAAGCCAGTGCTTGCGGTAACACATCTGCCTTTCTACCATCAAATTGAACTAACAATCATCTCGCCAGATACAATTACGGTGGCGAACCGCTGTGGCCATCGCCACCTCCAGCAAACCTTGTTGTCCCAAACTGCCAGTGCGGCGAAGCTCGTGTGTTTGAGTTGCAGGTACGCACGCCCGTTCGCTCCAGTCTGTCAGTACCACATTGTGTTGTAGCTCATGCCAGCTACCAATTACTTTTTGAAAGTCGAAAATTACGTTAAACCCGTCGACATGACGAGCCTGTCCCGAACGGACTCACCGCAGCCGGGGAAACGTGTCTTGGACGGTGGCATGGACTGGCAAACGATCGCGATCTACTCGTGTCCGGTGAGCTGTTCCTTCAGCCACGAAGAGTTTGCATACGTCATGCCACCTCTGGTGGATTAAAACCCAGTTCAAAAGCAACTGCTCTACCACCGATCGGCAAACAGCTTGATTCCACACACCAGAGTTAGCACCGCTCGAAAATCTTGTACAAGTTATTCAAGCACGCGATCGGAGTGACAGCGTCGTTCAAGCGATGAGGTGCCACAAACGAGTTAGCCTTGCAAGCTGGAAGCAGCACGTGTTCGACAACGTGTCGCGCTTTCGTGACATCCTCGGGGAACACAGTGTCGCTGTACCACTTGGCAAGTGTTGTGGTCACGCCGTGGAAGCACTCTTCTTCATCCTCCCAATTGATCTCATACAGGCGCAAGATGAATTCGGGAAGGGCGTGGAGCGGCGGCTCATGATTGAGGAGAATCTGTGGGATGCGTTTCAATTGACCCTGGAGACAACACAACTTGTAAATTGACATTGATGTGTTTGCATTGGAAGCGCACCTCAATATCGATGTGAAGTCCAAAGTATTCTGCCAGCATCGGGCCTTTCTCAGTCAACAATTTCGCGATCTCATTCGCGTGGACATCGTGCGGTCCATCGTCGTCCAAAAACCCATTGGACGGATTGTTGAGTGCACACAATGCCAGTTCTGTGATGGGAAGGGAGTTGTGAAGGGGAATCGTCGCAAGCGATCCAAACTGATGGAGTATGGTCTGGTACATGAGCAACTCAATTGTCGCCGCGTGGTTGACCAGGTATAGCTTAGTTTGGTGCTGAATCACGGATGACGTGTCGTCGACAATACCGACAAATGTGTGCTCGCGGAAGATCTACTCGGAAACCTTGACTTAAATGTTGCTTTCATTAATTTGAAGCGCACCTTTGTGAGTGCCCGGTCCGTTTTGGACGTCACGCGATGCAGCAACGTCACAACGCTTGTAAGATTCTTCGGGTCCAGTTCTACCATGATCACAAGACATGATTGCGACATTACATGACTGTATGAAGCACCTTCATCGTTCGAATCCACGTCAACGCCTTCCATGCGACCGATCTCTTCGCCGACAGAGGCGTTGTCTTGATCGTCTTCGACATTCAACATAGATTCTTGGGACATCAGGTACTTGTCTATCGTAGTCGTGGTGTGGTCTGTCCGAACGAGGCGTTGAGGTGCCTATTGACGTTTGTATATACTGACGATGTGACTTGTCAGCACACCTTGCTCGGGGCGTAGGATTTGGTCTTGGCCTTGGATAAGCTGATTTGCACTAATTTCGGTGTCGACGCGTCAAATGCTTTGTGCTTCTTCTTGGGAGTGTCCTCATCGATGTCCCTTCTGTCTTCGTCGTCTTCCGATGATGACGTGGATGAAATCGCTGCCGATTTCTCGCGCGCGCTCAAGTGCGACGCCATGATAGCTGTGACTGGCTGGACTGTGAACGTGCGCGATTGGTTCCCGCCTTGCAGAAGCGCGTTTAAGTGACTTGAGATCGCTTCCACCACAGCTTCCTCATGCAGGAAATGCACCTCGCGCTTGGTTGGATGCACATTCACGTCGACATGGTGTGGCGGAATCTCAATCGAAAGAAACACGAACGGATACGTGTGTTTGGGGAGGTACTGCGCGTAAGTGTACTCGCACGCTCGTCGCAGAGCTGGGCAGTCGACCAGCCTGTTGTTGATAAAAACGATGAATACGTTTTTCTTGGTACTACGGATCATTGCGTCAGTTGGACAATAACATGGGCGTCTGAGCTGGAAATCGCACTTGAAATTGGCATTGGAAACGTAACCTGAGGTCTTGAATGTCTCATCCGAGACAAGGGAGAAAGCCACCAAGTCTGTTGCAACGGAATATCCAAATACAGACTTGATCACGTCCAACTGAGTGCAGTTGTGGCCAATGTTGAGGTCACATGTGTTTTCTCGATGCTTCTTGCACACAAACGATGTGCCCTTTCCTCCGTACTGAATCGCGTACCGTTGCATCACATCTAGCACGCGATGGTACTGTTCCGACACGTTCTTAAGCGCTTGTTTTCGCGTACTCAGGTTGTAAAACATGTCTTCCACCTGGTAGATGAGGTGTGGTGTGGGTACTTGCAACGCATGCCGTTCAACATACCAGAATCTGCGTGCCTGTCTTGCCTGCACACGGAACAGGGTCTTTAGACCCACCTGGAGTCGTTGATACGAGTACGCCGTCACGATAATGAGCGCTACAGTCCGGTCTGTAAGAATGATGGAATCGTGAAGTGCTGTACCGGTAAGCACAAGGTTGATCCTTTGTCTTCGATGTAATCGTGACATGGGCGACGTGGGATACACTGGATAGGGCTTCTCCGCGGAATCCGTAAGAAGAAATCTCTTGCAGGTCCTCGTACTTGCGCAGCTTGCTTGTGGTGAACCGTTCGCACACGATGTCCAAGTCTTCTCGACGGATACCGCATCCGTCGTCTGTAATCTGGAGTAACTTCATCCCTCCCTGTCCCGCCACAACACTGATTTGCTTGGCACCAGCATCGAGGCTATTCTCTAGAAGCTCTTTGAGTGCGCTGGCGGGTCGATGGACCACTTCCCCCGCCGCGATCTTGTCCACGACGCACTGGTCGAGGCGGACTATTCGCCCGGCCATTTCTTTTTCAAGATGAAGTTGGCGCGCACGAAATTATCCGGTCAATAATCCTTATCCGAATGCTAAAAATAAAATAAACGTGAAGAGTAACTCGAAATTGGGTCGAGCGCCATGAACGAGAACAATGCGGTGGGTGAGTATACTGTTGAGGTAAGGACCCCACGAGGCACCTCTTCGTCAACTCCATCGTACTCCATCATAGTATGTCTTCCACGAGTGTGGCGATCTCGGCATGTGTCTTAAGTTTCCAACCAACGGCGACGTAATTGTTCAAAAACTCGAACCTGTCATCGGTACACCCAATGACATTGTAACTCACACGGTCAACCTCTTGCGGCAACAGGTCTTGCCGAGCGTTCTTGCCCCAATTTGCAAGAAGGCGACGTGTTGGTGTCAATAGTACGTCCGTTGCCACCACACAAAACTGATTGCTGTAGTAGAACGATACGCCGACGACCGACATGGCATTCTCTGACGTGATGAAGCATCTTCGCGATACTCTTGCCGCGTCGTCCGCAAAAGGCTTGAAGACGTCATTGACGTTCGTTCCAGTGGAGGGGTCGTTTGACACTGCAGAGAAGGCTGTCGAGAACTGGCGACGACAGGAACAAAGCTTCAAGGACGACGGGGAATTCGAAGTGGACTTTCCACCGTCACAACCACTCGGATTTCGTTTGACGGAGAGCTATATCATGGCAAAACCACTATGTCTCGAGTCGACATCGCTGTCCGAGCTTACTCCGCTTTTGCATCACGCGATTGTTCAAGTCAACGACCATCTCGTGCTCGGGGCGCCATTCCAAGACGTACTACAATTACTACAGGATGCAGCCTCCTTCCCCAAACAGATTTGGTTTTGGAAACTCGCTCCAGGCCATGACAGGGTGTACAAGGTCGTGACCATTGCAAGCGCCGCCCTGCTCCAGACCATGCAGTTATCGCCCGTCGACTTGATGTTCGAAGTGCCTATCGTGCATTCAATCTTACCCACACCACGATCCAAGTTGCCCGTCACCGCGCCGCCGTCGCATTTTCTTTGCCAACCGCCCATTCGCAACGACGGGATACGAAAGGAGCAATACTTAATGGCCATCAACGGCATATCCACGCTGACCGTGCCCAACGCCGACAACACCGCGTCCGCCGAGTCGTCTGTTTCGATGCTGCATCGTGTGATGGAATCATCATTGCATCTTCCTCGGCGTCTCTCCTTTCGAGACATTGAGCTGTACAAAAGCGAATTCCAATCCAAGCGACCTTTGTCCCCGTGGAGACGTACTGTCCGCAGCACAGAGTCCTCTAGCGCACCCCGCGGCCCACTAGCAGATGCTGTGACGATACAAGTTGTGTCCAAGCCATTTTCAGCCCTCGTCACAGAGAATGCAACCTCAATACCACATGTCGACCCGACCATCGAGCCTGTTCGACGCAAGTGGCAGCATGGGAAGAGTCGTTGTGTGGAGATTTCACCGTCAACAGGTCCACTCGGCCTCCAGCTCGAGACGGACTTTTCATCCAAGTTCACAGTGTTCAAGCGCTACGTTCGGTGCGTTGGTTTGCTGGATGGTCCTGCTCTTGCTCACGTCATCCTAGCACAAACACCGTGAAGAGAAAAACGATATGTGTTGGCGACCGCATCTTGTTTGTCAATGGAGTTCCCGTGAAAGATATACCAAAGGAAAAACTGGAGCAGCTCATCAAGGGCCACGCCGAGCCCCGGTATCTAAACGCGGTTCTCGTCGTGGTGACTTCACAACCTCCGCAGGAAATTCACTGTCGGACGAACGAAAACGTCGCCGAAAGGCCCATGGAGCGCCATCTCGTCGTGGATTCACCACTTGCGATCGACACCACAAATACGGCATTTTCACCCCATTCAATGACAAAGGCTCGGTACAAACTCAATTCATGGTGGACTCGATCGCCACAGAACGGAGCCCATACCACCCATGTTTTCCAACGATTGCAAACACATCCACGTCAGCACTTGTGTCGGACTCAACCCTTCGTCTAGGCGGCACTTCTCGCTGCTAACGCGACAGTCCGCACCTTCTGCACTGCATCAAGCGCTAACTTGCAAAGAATTCGCCTTCTTCACACACTTTCCAGCTACTGTGTCGACTGTCTGCAGCATGCACATGCTGACGTGCCGACCGCCGCACAGAAACCAAGCACCCGACGGATCATGCAGTACTCACACAATATCCATTACGACGTCTTATGCAACGCCAACGTTTGCTGCTTTGCCAGCCGGAGGCCTTCGTGGTAGATGCGGCTCACGATCGCCGACGTTCGAAGGACCGAGACCTGGTGCAAACACAATCTTTGCTGAGAACGACGACAAGAGAGCCGCATCATCGGACCTTAAAGAGTTCGATGTTGGCTTTGATCGCGACGACAATTGCTAGTTTCTCCTCGCGGCCGGCCGACGTCACGCTTTCCTCCGCCACGTTGTCATCCAGTAGCGACAGAAACTCTATCGAGATGGCATGCAAAGGTGTCAGCGCCGCCTACTCGGGTCACCACACTGACGAACCTCGTTCAAACGAACACTTGATATCGACGATCAGGTGCTTTTCCCGAAAGTTCCTCCACGACCGCTCCTCGTCGATCGCGAGGGACAATCGCGTGTTCACATCCTTCTTTGTTTTCGACAGCGCCTCGCGGCGCTTATAGTCATTGTAGCTTCGATTGAACTGACTCCCGACCAGCGTCAACGGCATGGCTGTGTAGCACGCGCCAAAGATCATTGCCAATACTGCGATGAACTTGCCCGACATGTTAATCGGGACAATATCGCCGTACCCGACCGACGTGATCCTGTGGTGTTTGTCATGGCGCAGGTCCACCGAAGTGTGCAACGTACGTCACGATGATGAACCAAATGCCGGAAAAGACGTCCTCAAACTGGGTCAAGTTCCCCTTGGAGTCGATCAGGATCCGCTTGCGGTACTTCATGTGCTTGGTCGCTTCTGGCATCTTTGTCAAGAGCTTCCCGTTCACGACGCACGGCTCGCCGACAAAGCACTCGGTGCCCATTTCGAGCTGGTAAATCACAAACGCAAAGATCGTCGTTACCAGGGCTAGCATGAAGTACTACGCAACAACGAAATGTTGTTCAGGCAATGCCGTCAGAGCACCCAAGTCCATGTACATGCACCATACCGGAATCACCAGGCGCTTGTACGTCTTCAGAATGGCTTCCGAGACGACGACAGTGGCTGGGATTTCCTACAGACCACGGTGACCGACCTGGAAACGTGCCCCGATCGTACAGTCGACCGCACCTTTTGAATTTGGAACCACCGAAAGATGCGGGCGAACCGCAACGTGGACAAGATGTCGTTGGAGCTCGGTGTCATCTCGTACGCGGGCGTGATTCCCATCATGTACCGTTTGAACTCGAACACGATGAACGGAATGAACGCGATCGCGTCGAGCCACTGCCACGGGTTCTTCCAATTCGTCTTGCGCACGCCCGTGACACACACGTGCTGGATGAATTCAACGACGGAGCACACAAAGAAAAAGTACTCAAACAACGGCCACGCGTTGGATGGATCCAAGTAGTAAAAGTGGTTGCGTTGGCACTCGCGGCGCTGGCACACATCCACGCGGGATTCCGTTCCCTCGAGCTCGAACTTGGTTCGAAATGGCTTGACCAGCCCAAGGCCCGTCAAGTTAAAGTTGTCGTCGGCCCAAAGACAACCCAGCGACGAGTTGTACAACGCACCAAAATTGTTTTGGACGCCGTAGCAGTTGGACGCCATCGTTTTCATGCCGTCGATCTTGCCGCACGTAAAGTCCAGACGTTGTGTCGGGTCGGCTGCGCTAAAGCACCCCGGGTCGTCCGTCGCATTGACCACGGACGGCAGCGCGCAATATGCTTTGACCACCGTCTTGCACAGTTCGGTCTGTTCGCCATAGAATTGAAGCTCGGGCATCGTTTGCAACGTCAGTATGATGATGCTAAACACCATGATGACCCAGCGATACTGGAATCCACCTGACGGGGGCGTCGGCGGAGGTGCCACAGTCTCATCCACAGTCGGTTGCTTCAGCTCCAACGGCGGCGAGTGGAAACTCCGACGTATGGTGCTCTGGAACGACGCGACAAGGCGCTCGCGTAAGCTCGTGCGCTTCATGCTCTACGACGTTCTCGTGAGGCGACACGACGGATCATGACCACGTACGTTGGAGTTGTCTTCGTTGTGTACCATCTCGTCGATCACGCGCACGAGTTCCTTGTACTTTTCATGGCACAGCCGCATGTGCGCGTGCAAGTCTAGCGCGACTTGTTTCACCTTGGCATTGTCTGGCTCGTTCTTGAGATCCGTAGCAAGGGCCGACGCAATCAACGCCATTTCGCCTGTGAGCGACGCCAACCGCAAGTACGCCGTGTTTGGGGCCATGTACTTGGTCAGAATCTCCGGGTTGTCGTCCATGACGACATCGTGCGCCTTGGACGCGTCCCGCCCCGCGGCCATCGCGTGCATCGACTCCAAACTCCGCTGGACAATCTTCTCCGTGTGGTCTCGCCACGCCCGGTCGAATTCTGTCCCGACAATCGCAAGCGGCATGGACAAAAAGAGCGTGCCCATGATCATGATCACGATCGCTGTGATGCGTCCAAGGGCGTTCCCCGCCGATGGCACGACGTCTCCATACCCGACAGTCGACACCCTGTCAGGAAGGCAGTTAGTACCACGCTTCTTTGTCGGCGAGTCGTACGTAACGACGACGTAGTAAGCCGATGTGAGCAAGTCTGGAAACATGCACGAGTCTTTGTCGTAGCACGGGTCAAAGAGGTACATCAAGCATGAAAAGACCAGCACGATTTCGAGCAAAAAGATGAGCTAGAACGGGATCAGCCATAGCGCTTGACGGTCTGCGGCGGCGCGTACCGCGATCGTGATGCCAGGAAGGCTGGCTCGAATTGCTTGAAATAAAATGTACGTCCCTGAGTTGTTCTACGGCATCACAAGGGATGGAGCAGTTAGTGGCAAAGTTCCCAGTCGAAGACTGATCGTGTGGACTCCAGTATGGCTACGAACCTTGGCCAGCCGGAAGATGCGAAGGAGACGTGCCAATCGCATCACGACAAACGACGTGCCGTCACCAAAGATCGTGTCGACGTAAAACGGCACGAGCGCGAGGAGGTCAAACCAGTTGAAGATGTCGCGGGCGAACGGCAAAAGCCGCCGCTCCCGCAGCACTTCGCATTTTCGCCACAGGCTTGGCCAAATGATGAGTCGGATGACAAAGTCGAGGGAAAAAAGCACAGTGAAGACGCCGTCGATAATCTTGTACGTGTGCTCGTCTGGGAGCGCCGGGTAGTCGGGGTAGAGATCGTCCAGGTTCGGGCCACACAGCGTTCGGAGGAAGAGGGACCCGCACGATACCAGTGCCGACAACGCCATGAAATTATGAAACATCTCAGCCGCTCTTGATGAGTCGGGCACGGTGAAGAACTGGAACACCGACTCGAACCGATTCAGCCGCGTGAGGTTTTGCGGTGTGTACATCTTCATGGATGTGTCCGTGAGGAGCCCTGCATTGTGCAGCGCTTCAATCGACAGGCCTTCATTGTACTTGGGCGAGATCGCCGAGATTACAGGCATCGAACTACCCCACGCGTTCGCTGCTTCGTCACTCGCCGCACCCAAACAACGATCAAGTGGGTTGAGAAGTTTCGCCCCCGAAGAGTCGCGAAACCGATTTCGTGCATGAAATCGCAAATATCCGGATAGCCGTAAGAACCACTGCCACCTGCCCGACCAGCACACGTGCGTCGTCGGAAAGGATCTCAATTGCGCCAAGGATCACTTCCGTCAAAGCCAAGATGGGCGACATTTCGAGCAGACGCCTTAAGGTCCTGGGCGCGACGGTGGCGGCGTTGATGGTTGTACTCGGTTTGGAACGGCACTAGGTTCGGAGGTGGAACGATTGTCGTGAGTTCATGCGTCCCCATGTAGAATATGCGACGTTTAACACTCACCTCGTACGTTGTGACATTGTTTGCCCTCCAGGCGAGTCGGTTGGTTCGCTGAAAAGTGTGATTCTGACAGTGATTCATGGGCTACTGTAAACCTTGTGCTTGTCAGTGTGTGGCTCCACTTCCACGACCGGAACCTTTCGTTGGCCCCATTCGACCTTGAACAGTGGGCACTCTTCTTGCAGGCGGCGATGTTCCAGTTCTTGGTGTTTCTGGCAACTTGGTCATACCTAGGCGACGTGTGAAGTTGTTTGCGTTTTGGTGGCAGCTTGGTGTTGCTGGAACGTCCTTATTCAATCACGTCATGTCAGACCATCGAGCCGGCTCCGACTCCAACCATGACAGCTTGCTGCTCCAGCAGAAGCTTGAAGCCCATGCCGTGAAACGTTAGATGTAAACCTGTATCCCAAGTTTGTCAGTTCCATCCACCTTAGTCGATTCCTTCAAGCTCTCTCAATCCGACAGGCGACGGGGGGCCCGGAGACCCAGCTGAAGGGCATACTCTCGAGAATCTCGTCTGAATGACCCACACACATGTGCTGGTTCCATCACCAAATCTCTTCCACCCACATCGGTACTTTCGATCGCGCGATGGGTCACCCAGGGAAGACGTGTTGACCAGGCGTGTGGCGAGAGCTTCCTGGAGGCGGATTGCATCCCATGGATACAATTTCTTAACGAGGCTTCGGCGACTTTTTCTGCATTCGTATGAATTATTCAAACAAGAATGCTGCGGCGCCCATTGCGCAATCACGTCGGTGGGCACCACACCAGCTATTAAGCGCGTCTCCAGGCGATGGTGTTTCGCTCGCGGCCACCCATCTTCGGAATGGAGGCCGCGTCTTGCCACGGAGCCCTCGCAAGAGTGAGTCGGACCTTGCACTCCGCTGGTCACCGCCGCCGAGGTATGGTCAAGACGCGACCGGATTGGCTCGTTCGTGCACGAACGGTCCAATCAAATCGTATCATGTAACGACTCGCCTTGGCAGCGAGGGCGGCGCACTTAGGAGAAATAAAACCTAGATTAAAACGAACTTGAATGATTTAAACGTGCCAAAAATTCGCAACTCTTGAGTTTAAACGCATGGCGTTTTTCTGAACCTATCTCGTGAGTTGAAGTTGTGCATGTGACACAAGGGGCGGATCCATCCATCGATGTGGATCAGGCCCCATAATCCAAAAGCCACCCAAGTACAAGCCATGGCCCTCAAGCTCGCGTACCAAGGCGTCCCTGGCGCGTACTCGGAGAAGGCAGTCCATCAGCTGCTTGGCGCGAACGCCGCCACCACCATCGGCCACGCTTCGTTTGAAAGCGCCGTCGTTGCTGTCCAATCTGGCGCTGCCGACTACGCCCTCGTGCCCATCGAAAACACGCTGGGCGGCACCATCCATGTCAACTACGACTTGATCTTGCGCTACAAGCTCCACATTGTCGCGGAAACCCACCTTCGTGTGAACCACCACTTGCTCGGGCTGCCTGGCTCGACCAAGGACGCGATCAAAACTGTTATCTCGCACCCCCAAGCCCTCGCGCAATGCGATCGTTACATTCGCAACCTTGGCGCGGTACCCCGCGACGAAGAAGACACGGCCGGATCCGCCAAGCTTCTTGCGGCACACCCCGACTGGAAGACCACCGCTGCCATCGCAAGCGACCTCGCGGCGTCCCTCTACGGCCTTGTAGTCCTCGACAGCAGCATCGAAGACGAATCCAACAACTACACTCGCTTCTTGCTGTTGTCCCCGTCGCCGGCAGCCACACTCACGGGCACCGTCAAGTCCACCATCGCGTTCGCGTCCGCGGGCGGCGCTGCCGCCTTGCCTCGCGCACTCGCCTCGTTCTCGGCACTTCATCTGACCAAGTTGGAATCTCGTCCTTTCGGCCCGGTCGCCAACCAAGTGCTGAACGCTGGTGTGACGGGCGACAAGTACAAGTACGTTTTCTACGCGGATGTCACGGGCACGTCTGCGGCGGTCACGGCGGCCGTGTCGGCACTGAAGGCCCTCGACGCTATGGACGTCCTAGTCTTGGGCACCTACCCGCTGGATGGTGCGCTTGTCGGCTCGATCACCGTGCCGGCGCGTCCTGCTGCCCCTGCCAAGGGCTTGAACCCTCTCCTGAACAAGCTCGCGCCGTCCAAGACCAACCAAATCCACGGGCTCACCAAGCAACTGGAAGCTCAAGGGGAAACTGTGTACTCGCTGTGCGTGGGTGAACCCGACTTTAACCCGCACGCCGCGATTATCACCAAGGCGCAACAAGCCCTCGCCGATGGCTTCGTCAAGTACACGGAGGTGCCTGGTATGATTGCGCTTCGCCGAGGCATTGCGCGCTACTTGGAGCGCTCCAAGGGCGTCAAGTACGACGCCGCGTCTGAAATCCTCGTTTCGAGCGGCGCCAAGCAGAGCGTGTTCCAGGCGCTGCTCGTGGCATGCACACCGGGTGACAAGGTGCTCATCCCGGCGCCGTACTGGGTGAGCTACCCCGACATGGCCAAGCTTGCCGGCGCCGTCCCCGTGACGCTTCCCACGACGCTGGCCAACTCGTACCTGATCGAGCCGGCCGTTCTTCGCGCGTCGCTGCTGGCGCACCCTACGACCCGTGTCCTCATTCTGTGTAACCCGAGCAACCCCGCCGGTGTCCTCCACGGCCCCGAGCTCCTCGCTGAAATCGCTGAAGTGCTGCAGGAATTCCCGAACGTGTTGGTGCTGGCGGATGAAATCTACGAGCAGCTTGTGTTCCAGGACGACGGCACCCCCACGCGCCGTCACATCAGCGTCGCGTCGCTACCGAACATGCGCCACCGCACGTTGATCATCAACGGGTTCTCCAAGAGCCACGCGATGACGGGTCTCCGCATCGGGTACATGGCCGCCCCCAAGGAATTCACGGCCGCCGCGTCCAAGATCCAAAGTCAAATCACGTCGTGCCCGAGCTCGATCGGTCAAATTGCCGCGATCGCCGCGCTGGAACTCGAGGAAGCGTCGCCGACGCCGCTCATTGCTGGTACCCTGGCCAATATGGATGAAAAGCGCAAGTACGTATGCGGCCGCCTGAACTCGATGCCGCATGTCCAGTATGCGTACCCCACGGGCGCGTTCTACGTCTTCATCGAGCTCCCGCACTACATCGGGACGGGGTTCAAAACTCCTGCCGGCGTTGCCATCGACACGGACGAAGCGTTCACGACCTACTTGCTCGGATCGTTCCACTGCGCGATTGTGCCTGGGTCGTCCTTTGGCATTGAAAAGGCCGTGCGTCTGTCGTACGCGACGTCACTCGAAATCTTGGGCCACTCCCTCGACGCGTTCGAAAACAGCTTGAAGTCGCTCGTGCGTTAAGTTAATCATGTCTTCATCAGTTTGAGTGGCACCCCACACACTCGATAAGTTTCCAATGCGCTAGCCGTCGTGGAAAGCGACTCGACGGCCGGACTTGGATCCTTTGACGCGTTGCATGCCATGGCCTACCCAGCGCCGCCGGACACAGTGGATACAATTTGGTGAAAGAAGCCGTGTGGGTCATGGATACAGCGAACACGCAGTCAGGCACAAGGTCGCGCAGTAGTAGAGAGGCAGGACGAGGTTGTCGATTTGACACGTCACGGCCTCGAGCATGGCGGTGACGAGGGTCGCTCCCAGCCACTGAATGACCTACAACGGGCCAAAGATCTCACTTGAGACAGTCGAAGCAGGGCAACACGTACGGGAGCGTAGCGGCCGTAAAGAAACAAGTCCACATGGTACGAGTGACACACTAGTGAGGCGGCGCCCATCGAAACAAATACGGCCACGCTGCCTTCCAGCGACTTGTTACCGACGACTTTGGTGGCGCCCCACATCGATCCGATGGTCGCACCCTAGACGCAATACATCGTGAGAGATGAATTCCGAAGAAGACGGGCACCATGGCGTCGCCGATGCCCAGAGCCAACACCCCCGCGTTAGAAATCAGAGCGGCCGACGCCATGCTCGTTGACTCGTCAAGGTTGGTTGTGGACGATGTGGGGTACAAGATCCATAAGGGCAGGGCACAGCCCAGCAACAAATATGTGTGGCTCAGAATCAACCGGCCGTCGTCGCGGTGGTCCAAGTACATTCGCATGTACAACGCAATAGAGCGTCCGAAGGGAGGGGCGGCGAGCGCACGGATGCATTCGACTACGATGAACACCCCGACAGCGACGCCATAGCTCAAACGAAGCATGTCCACCTACATGCAAGCTGCCGATGAGACGGACCACCAGAGAAAATGCCGCGCAACGTACGTCGACAAACGTCACGGGCAAAAACAGCAGCACGACGACAAAGTGGTACAACTTGCGGGCTACGATTTGACGCAAGCTCCATCGCCTGGCCAAGATCGGACACAGCGGAACGACGGCCACAAGTGTCGTGGCCCAGTACGCTGCGACTCCGACCTTCGACGGCACAAGGAATACATCGACGACCCAAGTCCATAGAGTTGTGTCGAGAAGGAGCGACGTCCACGCGGTAAATACCACCGCGACAAAACCAACAAGTCCGACGAAGAGGGCGGTTGGCGACGGCGGAAGCGTCGGTCGCACGATTCGTGGAGTGGATGTGCCATAGACATGGAAGAGAGGCACACAGAGCAGCGGAAGCAAGAGGACACTCACAATCAGACCAATTTGCAGGACAATTGCAATGCCGTCACGTGGAGGGATAGCGTACGGCTCCGCTTGGTGCAGTGCTCCTCCCTGCGACATGTATTATATACGAGTGAAGGGAAGCGATGGATGGCAGACCTGCTGCAATGTGTACAAGATTGCATCCATGATAAGAAATGTCATTCCTTGAGAGACCACCATGGCTTCGCCATACGTAAATGACCGGGAGACCGCCACGAGTCCGTGGTATAACAGGACGTTGTACAGATGCAATGCAGCATGGACGTGCACGACGAACATGCCTGTGGTGAATGTACGTAAGATAATATGTGGTCCATTTGCAAGAGTTTTCGGTCTACCTGCTGGCGCTTGAATGATGAGGCACATCCCATGGAGAATCACGCTCTCGACAGCTGCAGTGGCGATGGACCACGGCGTCATAAAAAGCACACGCAACAAGGACGACATCCCGAGAACTAACGATAACCATACATGCACGATCGCGTACTCTATGTGAATGAGCGCTCTGTGATACATTCAAGATTGAGAGAACAGCTGAGGCATTCCCACCTGACTGTGTGCCAGCTGAGACGTCGATGAGTAAGCGGCTGCATATCACAATGGGCACGATGGCAACACCAATCAGGATGCCTGAATCTGCCTCCGCTCTATGTGGCACAAAGTTTCGGCAGTGGCAAAATGGGCGAGTGAATACCTCGAGTGTTGCTTGACACTGCGCGGTAGGCGACATGGTGCAATAGTGAGGATAGCTCCGCCAAGAACGAGGACTGACATAACAGCGATCGCGAGATACAAGGACTGCAGCAATGGGGAGCCTTCATGCAATGTTCGTTGGTCCAGAATTATGTACATCCACACGACAGGAACACCCAAGAGGCATGCCTCGGCCACGGTGCGGCGCCACATTTGTTCACGAAACAAAATGCGCACGACAAGAATCGCATGTATGTATCCGGATTTCATCCGGATACTGAATCAACTCTATGTGATAAAGTGGAAACAACCAGAATGAGCAGGAATTTTTTATTCGGTACAATTTGACACTTCTCTAAATAGTACTATTCAGAATAGAAAAATATATTCATCAATTCGACCTGTCGAATATTATTTTCGAGGCCTTGAGCACTTGCGATTTCCAAGGCGGCTTGACGGCGGGACAGAATGGTACTCGCCGAACTTGGAACGAAGATTCAGAACGCGCTGGGCAAGCTCAACCGCGCCTCAAACGTCGATGATGAAGTCCTGAACACGATCCTGAAGGAGATCTGTGGGGCATTGCTCGAGTCGGACGTGAATGTCCGGTTGGTACAGCAATTGAGGGCCAAGGTCAAGAATGCTGTTGACGATGACGAGTCCACGGGGGGCAACCGTCGTCGAATCATTCACAAAGCTGTTGTGGACTCGCTGGTGTCGATGTTGGAGCCTGAAACCCCTTCGTACAAGCTCAAGAAGGGACAGTCGAACGTTGTCATGTTTGTCGGGTTGCAGGGGAGCGGGAAGACGACGACGATCGCCAAGTACGCGCATTACTACCAACGTAAGGGGTGGAAGACGTGCATGGTGTGTGCCGATACGTTTCGCGCCGGTGCGTTCGATCAGCTCAAGCAAAACGCGACCAAGTTGCGCGTGCCGTTTTATGGGAGCTACACGGAAGCCGATCCTGTCCGCATTGCGCAAGAAGGAGTGGCGCAGTTCCGCGCTGAGCACTACGAGTTGATTATCGTCGATACGAGTGGTCGCCACAAGCAAGAATCCGACTTGTTTGCTGAAATGCAAGAAGTGTATGAAGCGGTTTCTCCCGACGACGTCGTCTTTGTCATGGACTCGACGATCGGTCAGGCGGTCCACGACCAAGCGACGGCTTTCCGGCAGGCGATTCCTGTTGGCAGCGTCATCATCACCAAGCTGGACGGCCATGCCAAGGGTGGTGGGGCGATGAGTGCCGTGGCCGCTACGGACGCTGCGATCACGTTTTACGGGACGGGCGAGCACTTTGCGGACTTTGAGGCCTTCAATGCGTCGTCGTTTGTGAGCCGTTTACTAGGGATGGGCGACATGAAGGGGCTTCTGGAAGAGGTCAAGTCGACCGGCATTTTGGACAACCAAGAGGAAATGGTCGCCAAGTTGCAAAAGGGCGTCTTCACGCTGCGAGACATGTACAACCAGTTCCAGACAGTCATGAAGATGGGACCATTGTCCAAAGTGATGGGGATGATCCCCGGCATGGGTGCCGCGTTTGGCGATATGCTCAAGGGCGGCGGCGAAGAAGAAGGTGTCAAACGGCTCAAGCGCTTCATCTACATGATGGACAGTATGACGGCGGCAGAACTGGACGACCTCGTCCCATTGACGCCGTCGCGGAAGCTCCGCATTGCCAAGGGATCGGGCTGCCTCCTGGTCGAAGTCGAGTTTCTGCTCAAGTGCCACAAGCAGTTCGCGGGTGTGATCACTCGCATGGGGAAGAGTGGGCTCCTCAAGGGCGCCGACGACAAATCTGCCAAGAGGAATCCACATGCCCCCAAGTACCCACCGAAAGGGGGCATGGATCCACGCATGATGGCGCAGATGGGAGGCCCCCAAGGCATGATGGATATGATGAAGCAAATGGGGGGCCTTGGCGGCATGGACCCGAGTGCACTGATGAAGATGATGGGCGGCGGGCTACCGGGGATGCCCAAGTTTTAACTAAAACACAGGACACTGCAAGTTCAATCAAATGCACACATTGCCATGAACATCGTATATCGAATTGCCACCGCTTTTTTCGATTCGCTTGATTTTATGAAATATATATGGATATTTTTTATGACGTGACAGGATTGGCTCTCGATATTCTTATGCGCTTAACTGATTGGCTGACTGGTGTGAAGGTGAAGGTCTTTCTCGTAAATATGAAGGAAGAGATCGATTCACCCACCCGCAACATGATTCGAAGCTCCTTGACGACGGACAACCTCATCTCTGACCCGCTTGTGGGCATTCTCATCGCACTACACGTCAGCAGGTATTGCACTGGCCGTTTGTCTGCCGCGGAGTTGACAATCTCAATGGGGATTCCTTGGAAATTCCCACAACAGAATGTATGCGAATGAGTCGTATACTTTTGTCGGGAATCGGATTCGAAGTTGAGAGATTCGACACACGCTGCCAATAAAGTCCGCCCGCAGTACGTGCAGCCAGACCTCCGCGCGTCCGCCCCGCCTGCATCGAACCATGTACCAATCGGACCACCACTTGCTCGATGACGAAGACCACTTGCAGCACGCATTGATGAAAGGCAATGTAAGTTGACGGATGTACGCCGCAGCTGTCGTTGCGATATCTTGATGGGATACTTTAGAAACGACATGGCGGGTCTGACCGACGCAAGAGCAAAGGGTCCGTGGCCAACCACTTGCTCAACTTTTCGCTTCCCGTGCGGAACAATGACCCACCGTCGTTCGTGCGAAAAAAGAAAGGGCCGCCGCCCCGCACGCGCGACGAATTCCTCCACGCAAAGTAAGTATTCGTTCTCGGGCCATCTCGACAACGATGCCGCTCTCCACCTCTTGAGATCACTCATAAGCGACCCTGTCCTGACGCGTAGTTATCGTTTTGTGATTTCTCCTCTTTCAGCCAACGAGTCGCCTACATTATACGACCTCGACGCACTCACCGAATGTACGCTCCCGTCTATGGCACCATCGTGATAACCTTGCGCCAGGGGACAAAATTGAGCAGGTGATTGTGGCGAATGACGCGACGAATATCGACCAGAGGTGTCCGATCTGCTTGGACACGTTGCGAGCGCCAAAAATCACTCGTTGTGGTCACGCATACTGGTACAGCCCGCATCGTCGACCTACACATCTACTTCACAGACCTGTATTCTCTTCTTAGCTGGCATTGTATTCTCACGTATTTGTCGATGACGGAAAACTACTGGCGCCGATGCCCCATGTGCTTCGACTCTGTCAAGAAACATGATCTGCGCAGTGTCTTAATCGACCGCCACCGCACGATTCCTTTGATCGGGTCCTCGGCGACGTTCCACTTGATCCATCGGTCTCGAAGCAGTTGGTTCCCCCACTTGCCGGCTGCGATGGGCTCGTCCTTGGTCAAGGGCAAAATACCGTCTGTCCATTGCTCCAACGCCGCCTACTCGCGCATTTTAGAGTCCACTCCTTCGTACCTCCAAGCGATGATTGAGTTCGAGATGCACGACTTGCACACGTTAGCGGCGGAAGCTCAAAGCAGCGGCGACGACCACGCGCTTCCAGTTGTCCAGGAAGCGTTGGCGTATTGCGAGAAGCGATTGGCGAAACTATTTGCAACGACGTCCAGCGAAGGCGATGGTGTAGCGGCCGATGCGTCAGGGATCGTTTCTCGTTCTGCAGCAACAAAGGCAGCAATCGACGCCAGTGACGACGAGCCTCCGTACACGTTTTACCAATTGCACAATGGCCACACCGCGATCTTGCATCCTCTTTGTATGCGCGCCCTCACGCGTGAATTCGGCCACGACAACTCGTTCCCGTACGACATCACGGCTACTGTGCTCGAGATCGAACATGTCGTCATGAACGACGACGTCCGCAAGCGGTTTCGGTACATGGCGCACCTTCCATCGCATTGCGACTTGTTTTTGGTCGAAGTCGACTTGGCAGGCATCGTATCGCCCGACACGATGAGTCATTTTCAAACAGAGTTCAAAAAAAGGGCGCGGGCGCGCCAACTAGCGAAACGACACCAGAAGCTGGACAAGAAAAAGACCCGCAGCGACAGCTTTGAAGTGAGTCTCATGCTGCAGTTGGCGCTCGACAACGACACGCATTACCCCCAGCTACAGAACGTGGCAGTCGGCGCGCCCCCCGACAAGGATGGTGAACTAGAACGGTTTGACACACCCGACGAGTCCCCGTACAATTCGCCATACGCCACGTTTGCGAGCGTCACAACCAATCAAGGGTACTACCCCGCGTTCAATGTGGGTGGTCGGGACGGCACCTCGATGTCGACCCCTGGGTGGCCAAACGTGGGGAGTGCTATGGCCGTGCCGTTTAACTTAGACGAGCTCCAGAAGGAGTTGGGTCCGAACGGGAAAAAGGCCAAGGGGAAAGGCGTGTCGCTCTTTGCAACTTCCCAGCGCCGATCGTATCGTTAAGGTGTAATATACCATCATGGGAACTTTGAAGCAACCAGTTTTGTGAGAAAAAAGATCGCAATCCATCGCCACTTTGGCGTCGCCAGACACACGCACCGACTGGTGGAATGGCTCCCAACAACACAATCAAGTAACATCGAGAGTGAACACTGGTGAAAGTCCGAGGTGGGTTGCCGCTACATCAAATACACACACTGCCGTGAATCGGACGATGTGGTTTTCTTGTGGGGGGATCCGCACAGTTACGGCAGTTTCAAGTATTGCACCCGCACAAGGCGCGGTCGGTTTCATCGAACTACCCATGATGGAAGGCACCACCATGTTGAAGGCATGGGATGAAGGTACGATGGCGACTCTGGTGGCGGCGGTGATGATGGAGCGAACGATCGTAGCAACAAAGCACCAGCGCAAAGTCCTCCTCGATGAGTTTGCATGGAAGTATCGTGACGCGCACTTGTTTGAGACGACTGTGGACTTGAACGACGACTTGGGATCGTCTGCGGGTTTGTACTTGTCTCGCATTCTGTCGTGGCTGCGGCTCAACTGCACCGACGGCGATGGGCTGGCCCAGCACATCCGTGCCATTGCCGTCTTCTTGCGTGGCCACTTTCTTCAAGAGTTTATTGACGTATGTCATCGAGGGCACCGCAACGAGGTCCGATTTCGTCTGACGTAGGTTTGTCATGCAGATGGAAGGCGTACCAGTGCTGCTGTACGTGCTGTCATTTCCTCCGCATGCTGTCGCCGATGCCGACTGCGCCGCAGTGATCCAACTGCTTCAAACGCTGGGGCGATGCGGGCGGGCGTTCAAGGAGTACATCAGCCAATGCGGCGGGGAGCGAAGTGTTGTGCAGTGCTGTATGGCTCGAAGTACGTCCAACGTGTTGTAACATGGGGATGTTTCTTTTACGCACACGTCGACGCAGGTCCACATGTATCATGCGATAGCGGGCTGTGGCTAACTGTCCATACAGTGCTGCTGGAGCAATGCCGCGGCAACCCCAACTCCACGACTGCAACATTCGCGGCCCTCCATCTTTTGCTTGATAGCGAGTATGTCAACATGATTCGCATGGGGTCGCAGGTAAACGAAATCTGGATGGTCGCTCTGTGCATGATCAACCACCCTAACCGACCAACGCAGATTCTCCGCGAGCTTGTGGCTACCACGTCGCCACACTACGACGCCCGCGTGGTGGAGTACATGTGGGACCTCGTGCCTACGGCCATGACATTGCTGGCTCACGAGAGCTGCAAGGTACAATTTGAAGCCCTCGAACTCGTTCACGTATTGGTTCAAGACCCTTCCAAACACGTACGACAGATCATCTTCAGGGTATCCCTTACACCCCCTCCTGAACAGCATGCCTTGTGTTTGGAGCTCTTGCGCTGGCTTCGCGAGGCGGCGATCAAGCCGTACGTGCGATCGCATCTGACGGGACTCCATACGACAATTTCTAGAGATCACAACCTCTCCAAGGCTGCCGACGAGTTCTACGAAGTCGAATGTTTCATGCACTTGAAATCGCACGTCGTGCGGATTTGTCGGTGCCTTGACAGCCTTCTCTTGCGATGTCCATCGTTTGCCGACGTTGTGGTGCGCCGTTTGTTCCTTCCGCCTCGGTGCTGCCTGACCACGCAAATTCCAGATTGACCTGCACGGAGTCGATGCCCTCGTGTACGTGATCTTGGTGTCGACGGAGAACTCGCTCAAATGGCACGCGGCGTGCTTTACACTGCTGCGACTGTGCGCCACCCAAGAGGTTCGGGCGTTGTCATTTTGTTCATGCGTGTGATAGCACGGTTTTTGAACTGTGTAGGACGCGTACAACGCGCTGGCGGTCACTTGCCAGCACTCGGTGGCATTTGTGCGCGACACCGTCTCGGAAACGGCGCGAATAACGTTGACCCAAGACACTGATGCGCTCGAGTTCGACACGACCATGGACATGCTTCTGGGGGACACAACCCATCGCCATGCGATTTGGAAGCATTTGTACGACGAAAAGTGGCCGTTGAAGCCTGTCGTGGTGGTGGAAGGCGGCAACGATCAGACTCTAGACGCCATTGAAGCCCAAGTCGAAGCTGTCATCTCCCCAGTCCGTCATAATGTACGATGCCTTCATATTTCCCGATGGCGCGTCATGCCGTCGACGATGTGATGATTCACGTGCTTTCCCCGCGTAGTTTCCGTTTGAAGGTGGGTTGCTACCCGATGAGTCGCCGGCACCCCAACATAGCGACCACTACTTTATTCAAAAACTGCATACGCACTTTCAGCACTACCGCCGTGTTCTCCAAGACACCCGAAGCTATGCATGATTGTCGGTCGGACGAAATGAACAAGGACTATTACATAAAGCACCCGTCATTCTGTCCCAACGAATCTCTCCATGCACACGCGGCATGTCGTTCTGGACATACACCGTGAATCACTGCAAATGTTGTTGCGATAAAGTTATCTGTTGGGAAATGCCATGAGTGTCATGCAATGTGTGGCAATGACCGTGGTGTGGACACCACAGCCCCGGCCATCGATCCCTCTTCCTTCATCTCGTCGAGTTCAGCATCGCTGTAAAACAGTTCGCTCTTGTCGTCAAGATTCAAAGCAGGGATCGTCCGCACTCGGACACCACTATTGAACGAGACTCTGCGCTCTGGGCTTGACATGCCACAATCGTCAGCATTGTCCTTAAGGGAAGCTGCAACCAACTTAACGTCGAATGGGGAACGAAGTCGTTCCATGCGGTGGTCGGGACGGTTCAGTGCATGGTCGAGGTCGACAAACGCATGCAGCCACGTCGCCCATTCAGCCTTGGTGTGGACCACGCCATGGAGCCACCCAGCTTCCTTGGTCTCGATTTTAATTCCCCATTCCTTGTCTGCCCACTTGCATCCACGCAGCGCCGTGAATCGCTTGGCAAACTTGTGCTTGTCGCAATCGGCTTTGTCGTGGTACACCGTCAGGACTTCGTTTCTCAAGTGCAAGAAGCTGCGCTTCCACACATAGAACGTCCACTTCTTCGTCTTGACTTCGACATACGACTTGCAGGCGGCCACGGGGGCGTTGGCAGCGCAGGGACGGCCCATGCGCACTGTTCTTATTGCAACGAAATGCAAAGTGGTGGGCACCTCGTTGGCGCGTATGCGAGGAGTGGCCTTACCATGGCTTCCTCTGCAATAGCACGATGGGCGAGACAGGCCACGTTGACTTGTTCCCACAGAACTGATGTGCCCAGTTGCGCTGATCTCACGTCATAGTGATGTGCTCACAGTCCCAAGTCGGGAACAGGAATCGGTTCTTCCGGATAAATGACGATTTGGGGCTGTGATTGGCTAATTTTTTAGTTTTTATCCAGCGAGGACACAAAGCGAGTGTCGCATGAAGTGGTTCGCTGACTCGAACTGGACGCGACGAGTTTTGGCGGCAAGGTGCACGGCGACTGCACGCCCCCACGCGTGGCGGATGATTCGAAGACATAGGAGGGTTGGAGAAACTCAATGCACGATGCTGCTACGTCCCTCAAGCTGTAGTAGCTGCTCCTTTGATCACATGTCTTCGCAAGGGATGGTACAGACTTCATCACGCGTTGCGCGCGATCGATCGCTACTGTTATGATGACATTGCGATTGCTGCCTGTTCACCCTGGGAGTGCAATGCTGATTGAGATGTTCGAGCCAATCTTAGAATGGAATGTGCGCCTCCGCGTGGGTGCAGACAGGGCAATGCAGGATAACGTCAACTGCGTCGCAATCTCCTTTTCATCCAAGCGTCAGAACCGCTCGATCACCTGCCCCCCCGGACAGGGCTTGGAAAATTGGACTTGCACCGGCGTATCCAACCGTGGAAAACTCTGTCAAACTTGTTCGAGTCATCGATGGAAATGCCACATCGAACTCGACTTCGGGGCGATGTCGCTTAGGCCGGGCAAGAATTACGATAAATCAACACTGTGTTTCGAAGTATGTGTATCGATTCCTCCACTCGTTCGGCTGGTTTGGTCTAGGTTGCTGAAGCTTCTTCCAACTATCATGGGCAGGGAGCACAAGAACTCTACTCGCCGCCAGATCCATGACGCATTCATCAGTGGAGCACCAACACCATCGTCCCTTTCATTATCCCCGCCAACCCAAGTTCTCGCGCTTTTTCTTACTAAGGTTGTGGACTCCAATAGGACGAAGGCCAACGAACTACTAGCATCGCCACCAGTTTTACCTATGGACAGAGCAAAAGACGAGGCGCAGCCCTCTCGCAACGGCTTGAAAGCTTGTCACGGTTGCGCTGCAGACGTTGTCACCGCCTCCCACGACGATTCACAGCACCGTTTGGTGGGAGATGCAACGCGACGATAAGTTGCAGATTCCTTATTCTGCATAATGCTCGTCCGTGTACCGCCGCAAGTTGCGTAGTTGCGCCAAGATCATCTTGACGTTCGTCCGCGCCAGCTCAGCGTCCTTTTCGATGCCGTACGTACTGCGGCCATAGCTGCGGTAGTCCTGGACCAAATGCGCGTGCTTGGCCAATTCTGTGTGGATGCTACCGACAAGATGGAGGAATTCCTCCGACGTCTTTTGAAACTCCGCGTCTCGGCCTTCTGTCGTCACGTTCGCGAGATGCTGCATCGCAATACCTGCCTTCTCCACGGCCAGTACCAGTTGCTACAGTCAAATCAGACATCTATGGTAGATCTGTACCCTCGCTTACATCTTCGACTTCGTCTAACGACTCCAAAATTGCCGCATTCCGTAGGGGTTGGCTCTCGAAGTGGACGCGGCCTTCCTCCATTCTGTTCAGTGGGGTCGCACAAGGAGGTCTACAGTTATTAGTGTTATGATGTATAAATAATGTGACATGGAAATTAGAGTATGATACATTATTTGAAATATGGCAGCCCATCACACCATTTGGAAGGAATCAGGATGTTTGTAATGGAACGTTAAGATTCATGTTGTGGATGATTTCGCGGATCCTGCGTGATCCGACAGCATCCTCGCATGTCGCGTGGCCTTTCGTCGAGGATCCGTGAAATCCGCGCACATACGCGCGCGGCATCGGACGAGCGGCACGGCACTTCCACCACAGTGTTGCCCGGCATCCACGCGCTGCCGGTCGAGGAAACGTTATGTCGGACGTCCTTGATGCACGCCGTGAAACAAGTGTATATACACACGCCCAGGTTTATGCAGCACGACGACGCATAGCATGGAGGACAAGTCACACAGATGCAGCGCATGATAAAGGACGAGGTGAAATGAATGGACATCAAGGTTGTAAATACGATCATTTATGCAGCAGTCACGCGGAGCGCACACGTGCTATGCCATGACTGGCATCGGCCTTCGCTTCAAAACGGCGTTGCTGACACCGGGAGCACCTTTCTTCATTTTGCCCAGCTCGAGTTCTGTGTAAAATAGTTCTCCCTTGTCTTCGTCTTCAAGCGCGGGAATTGTCCGCACCTTAACTCCGCCGTTGAACGACACTCGTCGTGATGGGCTAACTGTGCCGAGTGGACTGTCGTCGGAATTGTCGTTGGGGGAGTTTCCAGCCGAGCTGCTTTGATACGAGTCAAGTGAGCACCGTTGAGGGCGTGCTTCCAAGCGTCGGACTTGTGGGTTGAGTTGATGGTCCAATACGATGAAAGCATGTAGCCAGCCTGCCCACTCCGCCTTGGAATGGATCACACCAAGTAACCACCCTGCTTCCTTCGTCTCGACCTGGATCCCCCACGGTCTTTCATCCCATTTCGCACCAGAGAGAATCGTGTACTTCTGGACGAACTTGTTCTTGGCAACGTCAGCTTTCTCGTAGAACACTGTCAGGACTTGGTTGCGCATGTGCCAGAAGCGGCACTTCCAGATATTCAGCGTCCACTTCTTCGTCTTGGTGTCGATGTAGGAATTGCATGTCACGTACTCGTCGGAGGCGTCCATAGTGGTGGCGGCGTGTCGTGCGTCTGCGTCGAAGGGTGGGTGGTGCAAGATTCGTGAACTGCACCGGGGCGTTCGCAAGTGCAACGTGATTTCAGACGACTGTTCTTAACGGGTTCAATACAGGTTAAAGCCTCATCTATTCATCTGAAATTTGAGCATCTAACCCTGGAAGTACTACGAAGTACTAGTACTAGTATACAGAATAAAAACTTGTCAATTTTCGATAAATGAATTTTCTTATTCACTATCATTGGCTGCAACGAGCGAATTTCAATCCGCGTGTTTGACCGACTATCTGGATACGATTCGCCATACTGTCGTATGATTGGTGAGTCTGTCGGAACAATTGGTGCGATCCAGTCAGTACGGTGAGTACTCTGTGCATCGACAATTGGACAACGATAACACGGGTTTTGAACTCTAACACCACAAGCTCTCTCTACAAAGTCTACAAAGCACAGTTGTGGTCGTGCCACATGAAAGAACTCGATGGCTGCAAGTTGGTCTTATCCGTCGAGCATCGTCCTTCGCCCGAGGGCTACTTTTCTCCTTAGAAAGTCTAGATAGAATTATCAAGGTTTTTACTCCAATTCAATTCTATTCATATTGAAAACTTGATGGTACAGTTCTCAATGTGCAAATGCAATAAATTCATTAACAGTAAGTTAAAAACCTTGGCGTCATTTTTGTTCCGGACGGTATCAAGTTGAATATTGTCCAATCCTATCATGTTGTTTTGCTGAGTTCGTGATATCTCAGCAACAGTCAATGCGATCGACCGATCCTTGCTTTGAAAAAGTCATCATCCAATCAAAAGTACTAATCTAGTTGGCCATCCAATCTCGTTTCAGAATTTGTAAGGTGCAATTGATTTCGGCAGTATTGCACATGCGCGGATAAAATGGCAAACGCAACAAATCCAACCGACAATGCTATGATTGGTCAAATATACAAAAAGAATTATTGATTACAACCAGTGCGCAATAAGTAGAGGGGATACCCCTCTACTTAATTGTCCGCCAGGTTTCCCTATTGGGCGTGGAACCACACTACAATTTTACAATTTATGACCTCGCTTCCTTTTTCGGACTTCTTTTAACAAACTTGAATAATTACCTGTGTGACCAGCAAAGGCAGCCTCAAACAGATCATAGCTTTGGTACTTTGAGAAAGCAACTCCCAAAGTCTGTCTCTCAGAGTACTTTCGACGATCGCACTTGATCATGTCCTTCGTAAAGTCTTTGATGGCACAGAACAAGCCGCTCTTGGGACATGGAGTGAACCATTGATCCCACGCATCTCTACCAGATCGTGCCGTTGGAATGGTCTTGGTCACCACGCACTCCCCAAGGGTTCGGCGTCTCGACGCCAACAACTTTCTTCACACGCATTGATTATGTCGTACAACCTCAACATACTTGTACCAGACGCAACTTGAACCACGCCATGGACCGAGCAGTTGTGCTTTCTCAGCAGATTGCGGTGGTCGATACCGTCGCTGATGCTTCTGGTCACCAGATACGCGCAACGCGTTTTGGCATCCGTCCACCGGCACCACGCCATCAACACTCGAAAATTGAACTTCCGTTCTGGCGACTCAAACACCCTGCAGAAGCAGCCTCCTCGCCGAATACTGTGCAATGAGATGCCGATGGGCAGACTCGGCGACGACTGCACCAAGTCTTGGACAACGCGTCGAACATAGTTCTGATCGAGAGGTTTGATCCAGTCCAAGCGAACTTGACCATGTTGGCTTGACACAGTTCGGAAAACGCATGCGTCTTGCGACACATTGGCGTCGATTTGACGGACTTTGTCTAGGTAGCCTTCGTACAGGGTGCAGACGCGGAGACATGGATACGAAGTCTCGTCGACCAAATGGTAAACTTGACATTCCTTCTCAACACTCTCTTTTTTATGCCATCGCAGGCGAATGGACACGTATCGACCATATTCGTCTTCCCCCAAGGCGATGTCGCGCCACTTCAGCGCCAATACCTCACCGATTCGAAAGCAGCAGCACAGTAGAAGCTGTAACTTGGCTGCAACAAAGGGATTGTGGTTGTCAAAGAAATAGATCAAAGTTGACAACTCTTGAATAGTCAAGGGGTGGGCCTTCTTTTCGTCGTCAACATTGTTCTGCCGATTGACCTTCTGCAAACCAATGACGTAGCGTCTCGCACGTGTGCCTTGTGCTGGGTTGGGGGACACCAACGTGGTTTTGCGGAGTCTACGGTGTGGGCTTTTCTTCCCAAACTGTACAGATGATGGAGGAAGTCCGTGCAATCCTCGGTCGTGACAGCTTTAGGGTTGAGCCCGCTCTTGTGCTGAGCACAGTACGCCTCGAACTGGCGTTGGTATGCCAAGTATGTCCTCCCTGTGGAGGCCCCATGAAGGAGTTTTGAATCGTCTGCTTCATCGGTGTCCTCTCCATCTCTTTTTGGAATGTGAACAGGTCAGTAGAAACGGCGTGAAACGAAACGACTTTAGGATTTAACAAACATGGCTTGTATATGTATAATGTTAAGGATATGTAGATGCACCGACACATTCCTCGTCCAATAGGAAATCGACAATTCTAATGGACCACTAGAATTCGTTTCTATTGTCGGTTGTCCAATCATCTCCCATTATATTGTCGGTTTGTTGTCGCGTCGGAAGTATACTTCCTCCGTTCCAGTACATTTGCATGACTTTACGTCAACAACCTCAACTCGGGACACCCAAAATGGCGGAAAGATAGCCAATAAAAAGCTCTACAGCCAGCTATTTTCAGAACAATTTAATTCCCTATAACACCCGAGGTATAGACTGGCTACTGTTGGCTACAATGACAAAATTCTTTGAAACTTCGTCATTTCTTATCCTTTTGCCTTCAAACCAAGTGCAAACGCTTCGTCTTGGTGCGTAGATATGCGTAGATATTGCTAGCACCATTCAAAATCGCAAAAACGTCTCCTTGGAGGCTCGCTACGGAAAAAACATGCCGCGCCCCACGACCGGTTGTAACCTTACCGACGACCAAAGGTCGGCGGTTTACCATCGACTGCTGCACCTCAAAAAAGAAGGCCGTGTTGGGCACGGCGAGATAAAGGAGCTCATGCGCACCTTTAACGTCAACCAAGCTACAATCTCTCGGATCTGGACACGAGGGTGCACGTCAGCTTCTCTTACCGAGTGTGCCAAGGTTGCTTCCAAGATGACCGGACGGATTGCAGGCACACGCAAGTACTCAGACGAAGGTGCTCGCGACATTATTTCGAATGTCCCCCACCACCTTCGGTGCAACTTTCACTCATTGGAGTCACCAACGGGCATCCCGAAGACAACTCTTAGGCGTCTCCTCAAAGCTAAGAAGCTTCGTCGAACAACGAATCGGCTCAAGCCTATGTTGACGGCAGATCATCGCCTTGCACGATACAACTTTGCCAAGTCATTCATGCGTGCTGGTCAGCTTGGCACTCGTCGTTGGCATGACATGATGGGCATTGTTCATATCGACGAGAAGTTGTTTTACATCACACAAGTCAACCGTCGATTCTATCTTTGGCACGACGAGGCCGTTCCACAACGTAAAGCCCAGTCAAAACGGCATATCACGAAGGTCATGTTCTTGTGTGCTGTTGCTCGTCCTCGGCATGACAGCCAACGTCATGCAATGTGGGATGGCAAGGCTGGTCTATGGCCATTCGTTGAGACCAAGTTGGCAAAGCGGAAGAGCAAGAATCGAGACCGCGGCACTCCTGTGACTGTTCCTATGAGCGTGACCAAGCCCATTTACAGCAACTACCTGATTGACAAGGTGTTTCCAGCAATCCAATCCAAGTGGCCTGATCGTCGTGGAAGACCCATTTTTGTGCAACAAGACAATACAAAACCGCATTTGGCGGCGGATGACGCTGCCGTGAAGGCGGCGGGTCAGATGAACGGTTGGAACATCCAGCTCACGGTCAGCGCAAAGCCAGGACTTCAATGTTCTTGACCTTGGATTCTTTAATGCCATCCAGTGCTTGCAGCATCAGACTACTGCTCGATCAATCGATGACCTCATTCAGTGCGTTGAAGGAGCGTTCAAGAATCTGAAGTGGGCCATTTTGGACAAGACCTTCATGGCTTTACAGAAGGTTTTGGAGGAGTCAATGAAGATGGACAGCGACAATGTGTACAAGCTACCGCATTTGAAGAAGGACATTCAACTGAAGGCGGGTCATCATGAGTTGCGGCCGTCATTCGACGAAGAAGTCCTTTTCGCTATTGATTTGATGGAGAGTCGATTGCAGGACGAGCAAAGAGTCGACGAAATTGTAGGTTTAATAGGTAGTGGGCTTCGTGTCTCGGGATCTAGGCTCTTGACAGCATTGATGAGCTCGTGGAACGACTGAATGATGTTGCAGTAGTGAAGCACATCATCCACCTGTTCGTCGTAAATTGTTAAACTTGAGTAAAAATATATGAAACACCCCGAAATGTCCTGAATTTGGATACAAACTTCCAGATGTAGAATGCTGCAAAAAAGTCATGCAAATGTACTGGAACGGAGGAAGTATGTTGGTATGTCAACCAAATTAATAGGTATTATAACAAATTTCAAAATTGATGGCATAAAATTAGAAGAAATACCATTCATAGCCAACGTCAGGTACTTTATTTGATTTGTCATGTGTGAACAGACTACCCTCCAATTATTGTAATTTCATTTATCAAAATATACAAGGCCCCTTCATCATGTTCTTCCTCGAAGGACAATTAAGTTTA